ATATATATATATATATATATATATATATATATATATATATATATATATATATATATATATATATATCATATTCAAATTTTAAAATTTAAACTAAATAAAATCACGATATAAATGTCCTATGATAAAAACTCATACACGATAACTATAAGAACAAGTTTCGAAGTTTGGTTAAATAACAAGAACAAATTCATAGTTTTTTAAAGCTCGATGAATTAAATTGATTCTAAATTATAAGTGTTGGATGATAAAAGTTTCACATCTGCTAATTTAGGGAATGATATCTCTCCATTGGTATGAAGTATTTTGTGAAAGACCAAAGTAAAGCCATGACAGCTTATGCTCAAAGTGGACAACATCATACCATTGTGAAGAGTTATGTTCGTCTAACAATAAGCACTATAGTTGTAATTTTACACAAAAAAAAAAACGTTCTAATGTACGAATCCAATGCAGGTAGATCCACATACGGTCGAGTTGGTATATTTGAAGTTGGCAAGACCATGTTCGGGTTTCTAGCAAAAATGGGCCCAATCAATGTACTACGACGTTTGCATGGTCTTACGAGCATCAAACCATCTAAAAGTCACGACCGAAATTGTTTATATACAATTTATAAATTATTTCCCTCTTCCATAATTAATTTTTTTTAATATTTTTCTAAAATCTTAAGATATTAACATTATTTTTTAAAGCTTACGATTGGACGATTGTTTTTATTATTATTATTATTATTTATTTTAAAAAATTAAAGATATATTTTTTTTATATTATTGAAGGAATTATTTGTTAACTAAAGTTTAATGTATATATATTTTTTATTTTCTTTTAATTTTTAAAATATTATTTAAATTTTTTAAAAGTTCGAAGGTTATTTTTACTCCGCGGGACATGACCGTAGCATTTGCTTCTTCGTCTTCATCCATGGAGAAGCTGAAGGTCGGCGATCGAAATCGCCTACGGAAGGGACCACGCTAAGCTCTCTTCTCTGCAACGCTCTCTCTCTCCTTCCTCTACTTGGTGTCTTCTCTCTACAAGCTCCGTCTGTCCCTTCGTCACCACTTCTACCTCTACGGCATATTTCGCAAGCACTGGTAAGAGTTGGATCTCATTTGAACTGTTTGATCATCGCTTCTTATTGTTTTTATTGATCGACGTTAGGATTAGGATTTATTAGATCACAGTGAACAAATTTGGCTGAATACGCGGCCGATTCCTGGTCTGGATGTTGTTTCTGTTGGATTTCTTAGTGGCATTGAAAGATTTTTTGGAATTTGGGAGCACAATTGAGTTTCTAAGCCCTAGATTTTGACCCCGTATATCAGCCCACTGTTAATAGATATGAAAATATTATTATTCAACTAAAGAATTAGATTTATATTCATAACCTTTAAATAGAATACAAGATATTAAATAATATCTCTAAAGAAAATATAAACTAACTAAATCTAATAAAATAAAATAAACTATCAATCAAATCTAAATTCTTCCAAGTTCGTTTGTTTTTGCAATGATTTTGTTTCATCAGTGAGGCGAAGCTTGGGATCGATGCAATGGATTGAATTAAGTTTTGTTTTTCAGTTATTGAATTGCAATGGCCAGGGGTTTGTTGATATTTATTGTACTGTTGTAGTTCGTATTGACATCTGTTGATATGAATTCTGGTTCCAGTCATTAGTGTTGGGAATTTGATTTGGGAGACCGGTTATGTATTGTCATCAGCCTCACGATTTTAAACACATCTATTAGGGAGATGTTTCTACACTTTATGAGAAATGTTTCATTCTCCCCTCCAACCAATGTGGGATCTCACAATCCAACCCTGTTGAGGATCAGCGTCCTCGCTAGCAAGCCGTTGGGTGTCTAGTTCATATACCATTTATAATAGTCTAAGCCTACTGCTAATAAATATTGTCGACTTTGGCATGTTACATATTGTCGTCAGTCTCACCGTTTTAAAGCGCGTCTTTAGTAATTAAGTATTGGAACCGGTACTCATCCAATTATTATCCTATTTGGGCTTTTCCTAGACTTTCCCATTACGCGTTTGTTAGGGAAAGGTTTCCACACCTTACAAGAAATGCTTAGTTCCCCTATCGACGTGGGATATCTCACTTTTTCTTTTTCCTTTTTTGATAATCTCCCAAGATCTTGATCGAGTATCTTATTTTAACATAACAATCAAGGACTTCTAGCGAAGCCAATTTAGACTTGGTGATGCTTCAAGATTCTTTGTTTGATAACTGTTCATAACTTTACAGTATCCTAAGAATTTAGTCGATGATCCTTCTGGTTTGATTTCCTGTCAGGGTTATGGTGGTGGGGATGAAGCCAAAATGCTTAGAAGGCATCTTGCTGGGAGTACCATTAAAGTATGCATTGGAGCAGACAGGAGAGCTTCTGCTGCATGAACAAGTAGGTAATCTTCCCAAGTCCGAAAAAATTAGTGCTGTTACTCTGGATGATATTGTCTTCTTTGGGCTTTCTCTTTTGGGCTTCCTTAAATTGCTTCTTCTGTTAGGGGAAAGTTTTCACACCCTTATAAATGGTGGTTTTGTTCCCTTCCCCAACCAATGTGGAACATAGGATAGTTGTTTTCCATTCGTAGTATAGGTTGAATTTCATTTGCATTTATAGTATAGGTTAGTATAGGTTGAATTCCCGTTTGCGTCATTAGTATAGGTTAGTATAAGTTGAATTGTAATCGCATTAATAAATCATAGGTTAGTATAGAACATTTATTTCAGAGTTGTTTTTCGTTTCTTTCCCTTGTATTTGTTATTCATGAGAGTAATAAAAGATAAACTTATGTCGCATTTATGATAAGAGCCTATTTAAAGTAAATTCGCGTTTTAAGGATAGGAATGACCTTAGATTAAATAAGTAAAAATTTAGGGTCGTTACAAATGGTATCAAAACCAGACACCGGGCGATGTGCTAGTCTTCTCGCTGTTTCCCGAAGGGCGGTCCCACATTGATTGGAGGAAGGAAAGAGTGTCAGTGAGGACACTGGGCCCCGAAGGGGATGGATTGTGATGTCCCACATTGGTTGAGGAAGAGAACAAACCACTATTTATAAGGGTGTGGAAATCTTCCCCTAGCAGATGGGTTGCCTTGAGGGGAAGCCCACCATTTATAAGGGTGTGGAAATCTTCCCCTAACATATGGCTTTTAAAGCCCTTGAGGGAAAGCCCAAACCACCATTTATAAAGGTGTGGAAATCTTCCCCTATGAGAATCTCAGCCCACGCCCTTGTAAGTAATGTTTTGTTTCCCTCTACAATCAGTGTGGGATCTCACAAAAGTTGACGGATAGAATTAGTAGTATGGATAGATCATCGGGCGCTTACAAGACGGATTGATTTTTTGAAAGTGGGTTTGTGCTACATATTATTGACTGTGCACCATGACTTGGAGATCATTGTGTTCAATGGGATAACATTATGGGGGAATTTATTACCAGTTGGACCTTTAAGAGAATCATGTTGATCGACTTGACTCAACTCAACTTCTTCAGTGACCATCACGATAGGAGCATATCATGTTGATCGACTTGACTCGACTCAATTCGACTTCTTCAGTGACCGTCACGATAGGAGCATATTAGGTTGATCGGCTTGACTCGGCTCAACTTGACTTTTTCAGTGACCATAATGATAGGAGCATATCAGGTTGATCAACTTGACTTCTTCAGTGACCATCACGATAGGAGCATATCATGTTGATCGACTTGACTCGACTCAACTCTACTTTTTCAGTGATCATCACGATAGGAGCATATCAGGTTGATCACTTCTTCAGTGACCAACACGATAGGATCATATCATGTTGATCGACTTGACTCGACTCAACTCTACTTTTTCAGTGATCATCACGATAGAAGCATATCAGGTTGATGACTTCTTCAGTGACCATCACGATAGGATCATGTCATGTTGATCGACTTCACTCAACTTGATTTCTTTAGTGACCATCATGATAGGAGTGTTGGATCGATATGACAACCCTAGAGAGGGTGAATAGGATTTCAATCAATGTAATTATTAAAAAACTTTCTTGGGAATTTGAATAAAACTTTCTGACTCTTTCCTCGGATTAGAGCCCAACCGCTACACCGCTTCTTTTACGAGTGCAAGAGCAAACTCAATCTTTTCCACGGCTCAGAATCAAATCGGTACACCGCTCTTTTACGAGTTCAAGAGCAAACTCAATCCTTTCCACGGCTCAGGATCAAACCGGTACACTTGTCTTAATTAATAGATTTACAATTTTCTCACAATACAATAGACATCTCTCTCGTGATAAGATAAAAAAAGAATTTGAAGATTTTTGAGAGAGCTACAAAGCAAATTGGAAGCTTTGGAGAGAGGAACCAGAATTGGAAGCTTTGGAGAGAGCAACACGAATTGAGGCTTTTAAAAAAAAATTAGATAAAAAAAATTTAGATCAAGTAAACAAATGAAGAAATAGAATTGGAAGCTCTGAGAGAGCGACAATTGAGGCTTTTAAAAAAAATTAGATCGAAGAAACAAATGTTATGTGTTGTGTTCTGATAAAAAAAAATATAGAATGGGAAGTTTGGAGAGATCAACAATGGAGACTTTAAAAATTTAAATCGAGGAAACAAATGTTTTGTGTTTGTGTATTGTGTTCTGAAAATTTTGTGTGTTGTGTTCTGAAAAATATGAAAAGGTGACGTGAACCGTGGACCACGAAAAATAATATTTATTTATTTTTAAATTTATTATATATATATATATATATATATATATATATAACATATTGAAATATAATAAAAAAAATGTTAATGAAACATTGGGGTAATTCAAATAATTTTCTTTGATATATATATATATATATATATATTATAACATATTGAAATATAATAAAAAAAATGTTAATGAAACAATTGAGGTAATTCAAATAATTTTCTTTTTTCTAGTTACGGAAAACTTTTATAAAAGTAATTGAAATGATTTTATAATTTAAATACTCCTCCTTTCATTTAAAAGTAAAACTTTTATAAATGTAATTGAAAAACTCCATCATTTTGTTACTCTACCAAATTTATGTATGTCATATTTTGATTGGTCTAAGATGTCAATTTTGTCGTTGTTCCAGGATGCTTCACCATTTGTCACCATATCATCACGTCAGTTATCTTGTTTTGAATTTGATTGGTCAATGATGTCAATTTTGCCACCACATCATCACGTTGGGTATTTGTTTTGACAGGAACTTCTTCGTTTTATCTCTAATTTGAGTGAACCAAAAAAGACGTTGAAATCGTTATTCCCAACCTGACACTAAGACAAAAATAAATACTGAGAATTGTTCATAATTGGAAGTAGGTTTGTTATCATTCAAACATCAATTAATTAATTAATTTGAGATTAAAGCGAAAAAGCCACCAAAGAGCTGAGAATTGTAAATAATTGAAGGTAGGTTTGTTATCATCAAAACACAATTAATTAATTAATTAAAATTAATTAATTTGAGATTAGGGCGAAAAAGCCAACAAAGAGCATATCATGTTGATCGACTAGACTCGACCCAACTTCAGGGACCAACACGTGTATCAAGACAAGGTAACTATTCTTCAATCTCACCTCCACAAACATCTACAAACAAAAAAAAAAAACATTGTAATATTGAGAAATTGTAAAAAAAAAAAAAAAAAGAAAAGAAAAAAAAAAAAGGATTATTTGAGAAGTTCGAACCATATTTAAAATTTTCCAAAATTACTTGTTTGCCCTCGATATGATATCAAATGGAGCTTAACGTATATACTCTCGGTTCAGAGGTCGTAATTAAGTAAATAAAAATAAAAGATAAACATTTGTAATTCATATTAATAAAATTAAATGATAAATTATTCACGTTCAATTATTGATTATCACATCTATTTCATTTCTTAATATGAGTTGTTATGTTAACCAATTATCGAGTTAAAATTAGTTTTTATTTATAAAAATAAAATTAATAATTAAATAAATAGTAACACAGATTTCAATAATGCGGGGATAGCTCAGTTGGGAGAGCGTCAGACTGAAGATCTGAAGGTCGCGTGTTCGATCCACGCTCACCGCATAATTTTTCATCAATATGGTTTGTTTTCTGTTTTAATAACATCTATCTAACTTTTTAATGGCCTAAATATCAACAACGCGGGGATAGCTCAGTTGGGAGAGCGTCAGACTGAAGATCTGAAGGTCGCGTGTTCGATCCACGCTCACCGCATAACTTTACATCATTATCGTTTGTTTTCTGTTTTAACGACACGTGTCCGTCCTTTTTTAATGGATATATAAATAATAATAATAATAACTGTAAATGAATAATACAACTATATTATTATTTGCGCAGTCTTTATTTATTTATATATTGTTTTTTGTTTTATAATTATGATAAAAAACAAAATTTATAAATAAATAAGTTGTTAACAAAAATTGGAATTATAATATGGTACTAAAGTTAAGTATAAAATGTTAAATTTCTTATAAATTACAGCAATATTTCTATTATGGAATTATATTTAAAATTACAATATAGATTTTTCTCTGACGCCCTGTAAAAGTTAAACATCATTATGCTATTATTTTTTATTATTATATACACACACATTTTTTTTAGGTTATTATAATATTATTTTTTTTAACTGCCTGTGAACCGAACTAAATTATCGGTTTTGAAAATTCAACATAACGTAGTTGAACCCTTATGTTCCAAGTTGGATAGTCCAAGTAATTGTTCATGCTATTGGGTTACACGAACACTCCAACTTTGTCTATTCTCGCTCCAATCTCAAAGGGAGTGTAAAGACATATTAAAGGGGAAATGATTCAAAATAAAAAATAATAAATAAAAAGATAATTTTTTGTAAATTATAATTGGTAACAGAATTAAATGAAAAATTGGATTTATATTAAGTTATCGATACATAACATCTATTTCATTTATAATACGAACGGTTTAAAATAATATAATATTATGATTTGATATGTAACGTAAAATATATAAACAGAAACGCGGGGATAGCTCAGTTGGGAGAGCGTCAGACTGAAGATCTGAAGGTCGCGTGTTCGATCCACGCTCACCGCATATTTTTCGTTGTCGTTTGTTTTTGTTGTGGTTTAACGACACGTGTCCGTCCATTTCAATGGGCTTTCATTTCATTCCAAGCTAATTGGGCTCCTCTGAATTTGGGCCCATTTCACGATCTTTAAGTACCCTAAATACACTTATTTTTTAGAAAACAAATGATAATAGAAAATTGATGCGGTGAGCGTGGATCGAAGACGCGACCTTCGCCACTATGATGATACGTGGTACTTTATTTTAAGATCCTTAATATTTTGTTTTTTAAAAAATATAAAGATACCACGAGATAATATTTGTCGATAGTAATATTGAAATTTTTTTATTTATAAAATTTAAAGGTATTAATGTTAATTTTAAAAATTCATATGTATTTATTTATTATTTTTATTGTAGGGTTATTATCAAATTTTGAAAAATATATCAGTTCTTTTGGTTAGAAGATGAAAGTCTCTCATCAGCTTATGTAGGAAATGAGAATGATCTGGTTTATAATCAGAGAATACTCTCTCTATTGTTATGAGGCATTTTGAGAAGCCAAAAGCAAAGCCACTAGAGCTTATGCTGCTCAAAGTGGACAATTGATTGGTAAATCCTCAAATATAGAACGACTCCAAAAGAAAAGAAGTCAAGCCTCTTCGAAGGCAGTAAAAATGACTAAGAGTTCAAAGGAGTTGAACCTCGATTAAGGGGAGGTGCTCTTTGTTCGAGGGGAGGAGTTGGATGGAAAAAGTCTTATGTCGGCTAAGTTAAGGAATGAGAATGATCATGAGTTTATAATTAGAGGTGTTGGATGATGAGAGTCGTTAAGTTAGGGAATGAGAATGATCATGGGTTTATAATCAGAGAATACTCTTTCTACTGGTATGAAGCCTTTTGGGAAGCCAAAAGCAAAACCATGAGAGCTTATGTGGACGTGGTATCCACCATGGGAGCAGTTTAACACTTTTCAGTCAAATGGCAAAAGAATTGAGAGAATCTGATCCCCAATCCCTAATCTGAGCACCACAATTCACGATTCATAAGCACCGATCATTACAAAATAGCAAAGAAGAATGAGATTTCCTTACAGAACGCGAAGAATTCAATCAATGGCTTCACCTTCAAGTTCCGTTGCGCTCCGTTTCTTCCTCTTCCACCGATGCTCTCCCGTCTTTGTCACATCAGATCGGTACAATTTCGTAATAAACTTCGGTAAAATGAGATTCGCTATCAAATACGCAGCCAGAAGCACGCCACTGCACAAATTGCGGATATAAGTTGAAATTTCAAGAGTAAATCTCAAATCGGTTCTTGATTAATTTTGTGCATCGGTTTGAATTTAAACAAAAAAGAAATTGACAGAACCTGTCTCGATGTTCGCGAGAATGAGAGAGGCTGGAATTGCATTGGCTTTCAGCGAATCGAATCGAATCGGTGGCTCTGTGGAGAAATGTAAATCTGGCGGAAGAAATGGGTTGAGGACTGATATTAAGGGGTATATGTTCTAGTTAGGTTGGGTTGAGATTTTTTTTTTTACTCAACCCAAACGATAGAATGGGTTGAATTCGTAATCCAACACCGAACCCTAAAACCCACACTTCTTGAAAATAACTAAATACAGACCTTTCTTGAAAATAACCAACTACAGACACTTCTTGAAAATGAGTTAATCTTTGTCAACTCTCCTATGAAGCTAAAATTTTCTTCTTGAACCGAGTTAGAGGCTCGAATATACGTCGCTTGGCCGTAGGCGGCGTAAGAACAAATATGGCAGTTATTGTTGCCTTACATTCCCACAGTACACCAATTTCAAATTCTTAAATCTTGTTTTCAAAACTCTGTTTCGAAATCTCTCTGCCCTGTTTTTTCTAAAACTTTCTTATTGAATCGGGGCCAGAAACGCGAGCATACGTCGCTTGCCCATAGGCGACGCAAGAACGAATGAACTTAACTCACTTGTTGTTGGGAAATAAGTGCCCCACAATCGCAATTTTCCAGCAGATTTGAGTTGGAAGAATGGTAACACCTTAATATAATTCAACGTTACCATAAAACTAAAGACAATTAAATATAAATACCATCACTTTCTGAAAATTGGTTACTTTATAATACATAATTTTTGCCATAAAACTAAAGACAATTAAATACAGTCATTTCTTAAAAATTGGTCATTTTCTATCTCTTGAAAATTTGTTACACTATGGAGAAAGTTACTTATTATTTTGTTTATATTTAATTTAAAAATAAATTATTTTCATGATTTTTGTAATATTTCAAATTAAAATTTTAAATTAAAAAAAAAAAAGAAATATTGTTATAAAACATGTTTTTATTTAAAAAAAATAAGGAAGAAATAATTAGATATTAAACAAAAAAAAAACAATAATAAACTTTTAATGACTCATTTAAGTTATTAAAAAATTACTGTTAATTACAGTTATTATTTTAAACGGATTTTAAAATAACTGTTATAATCAGATATTCGAAAATTGAACAAAAAAAAAAAATATATATATATATATTATATGGAAAATTAGGCTTCTGTTTCCAAGTTAGGTCAGGGAATCTTTTATTTCCATACTATATTCATTGGAATATTCTCCTCGCAATTTACTAAATTACCCCCAAAATTAGGTAAAGGGTTGAATTCAAAATAGGACAATACAAGAGGGGCAAATTGGTCAAACCTTGAAAAGCTCTGAAAACGACTTCCCCTGAGAACAGTGGGGTCAGTAAAACGGGGCGTTTTAAATAAAATAAATAAATAAAATTAAAAATAGTCAAACGAGCACCTTCTTTCACCTCCCCAATGACTTTTCGCCTATTGTCTAATTAAAAGATGACACGTGTATAAATGTCATTGAACTTGTCCGTAGCCTGTAATAGCCTCGCGCCTTCCAAATCATGGGGTAAAGGAGGCAAATCGGAACGTGGTAGAACAATCGTTTTCCTTCCCCCTTTCCATCTTCCTCCTCTTGCTGTCTCTCTTTGAAGCCGTTCCGGGTTGATCTTCCACGAGTTTCTCCGGTCTCTGTTGTTCTGGTAAGCGATTTCAACGTGTATGTTTTTGTTCTTGTTTGTTTGGCTTCAGTTCTCCTTTGGTTGCTGAGATATTTGTCTAGGAAATCTGTTTTCTGTGATCTTTGTTTTGAATGTATGTTCTTTTTCTTTTTTTGTTTGTGCGTTTTCCATTTTGGCCTTTCGTGATGTCTGCATTTTATTTGCATGTTTCTTTCTGGATGTGTTCTGAATCGTGAAAGAATGCACTTATGTGGATTTTCTTACTGTGATTTGGTCGGTGCTCTGATTTTCGTTTTACTTGCCTGAATAGAAGCTGAGAAAATGAGTTTTGGAGTCGTACGGCGACGGATTGCGTCTGGAGGTTCTAATCTGGTAAGTTCAGAGCGTTCTATCCATTTTCTTCAGGATACATGATGAATATAGGATTTGTACTGGTAGTCCGGACTTGTCTGATTCTGTAGTGCTTTCATTTCAGTTTTCTGCGCAGTATTTGCGGGGAATTCGACCTTCCATTTCTGCAGGAAGAGTTCGCTCCGTTGCCGAAAAAGAGGTAGTTGCGTTTTCTGAAGTTTTTGTCTCTTTGTTTGCTTTGTTTGGAGGTAGTTTCTAATTTTGGCTTGATGTATTTTCATAATGCACGAATGACCTCTTATACGCTATCGGTATTTGCTATGTATCTCTTTGTTCTTCCTTACACATCTCTGTGAAATGAAATGAAAGTTAAAAGCGATATTCTTTGTTTAGTTTCGTGCAATAATTTATTCACGAATCTTACTGCCTTGTTTTTTCACTCCGCATTTAGATTTTGCACCAGTGTAGGAGCTTTGGACATGTCAGAAAATTTTCTCACCTACTTTCACATGGTAATTTTGATTGCGGCCTCTCTTTATATTTGTCTAAGCTCCTACCTTATGCAACTAGTTTAAATATACGTTCTCCTTTGATGATTGATACCCGTACGTTGCAGGTGGCCTTGCTAGTCCTCAATCTCTAAGGTCAGTTACCAATATACAACTTCACGTATGTGGCCCTTGTTTACTTTTGACCTTGAGGCAAAATTTCAATTTTCTTTTCCTCCTCTTTCTTGGTGTGTGGTGTTTGCCATCATTTGTGATTGTGTATTCTACATTTTCATCGATGTGTTTACAGACCAATTTGCCTTTCCTTGGCCCGTTTGACACATGTCTTGACTCAGTAATGGGGTCTCGTCATGTATCTCGCCTTATGTTCTGCTTTTCTGAGGTCCATCTATCCATCACACTATCTATACATGGGTCAGGCTGACATGTACTGTGAATAAGTAAGATTTTTCTAAGTAATTAAAAAAAATTAACAACTCGATGACCAAACCCAATCTGAAAAATAGAGGGGCGGGTTTGTGAATCCTATTCGAGTCATTTGGGTCACCAACCTGAGCAACTGGTCCAAAAATTTTCTCCAACCTACCCGTGTATACCTCTATTCTAATGACAGGTAGTGTTGGGAATTCATCCTCTATTTTGATTTCTCTTGGGTCTTTGATCTTTCAACGGCAATTGTGAATTTTTAAGTTGTTTCTGGATTGGGTTTGAGATTCTTGCTATCAATGTGAATCCAACTCTTTTTTTTTTTTTTGTTAAATTTTAAAATTTTACGAGCATTGTGAAACCCCATTCAACCTGAAACTACTCCCATCAAAAGGAAGAAAAAAAACTGAACAGAGAATTTGCAATTGAACTTGTGATATTAATTTAGTTTGGCACGGGTCGTTGGTCAATAGCCAATTTTAGCATTAAGACATTATATATCTACTATAGGAGTTTGTCATTTGACTGGTAGATTAAGTCTTTTGTTACTTGTTATAATTACCATTACAATGTTGCTTTTTCTCATTGAAACAAAGTTTCAGTGGAATATGGGGCACGTGTAGTACTTTTCAACTTTTTTTTTCCCCTTTTAATGAGAACTTTTCATTAGTTCTTTGCTACTGTCCCCTTTGGTTTGAATTTTTATATGGTGATCAGGGTTGCTTTTGCAAGTATGCAGCAAAGTTCTATGATGCAATTGAATGGTCGGAACTTCTCTTCAGATAATGGTGCGGCATCACTTTTTTTTCTTAATTATTTTTGCTTGTGTTTCTTCTTGAACATTTGCTGGGTGTTAGTTGGACTGTGTTTAGCTGATGTTGGTTTTCACGCTAGCGACATTGGGGTTCTTTATAATGACACTAATTGTTGATCCCTTATGCAATCTCCATTGGTTTCCTCTTCTGCATTTCATATTGTCAATGTAAAGTTTAGTTACTTTTCACATAAACAGAGGGAGAAAATTAAATTTACCCCATCTTTCTTCCACCAACATTCATAACAAAAAATGATTTTTTCTTTGTTGGGGGGAGGTGACTGTGAATAGATTTTTTATGATAAAATTTAATAAAGTTGACCATTATTAAGCAGCTTCCCTCTCTCTGTTGTTGTGAGTCTCAAGTGTGTAGCCTGCGTGTTTAAGTTGTTGCATGAAGGCAAAAAAAGCCAATAGAGTTTAAACTTTGTTATACTGACATCACTTAGAGAAATTGGAATTATTTCATTTACTCTTCCATCAGATTTTGCATTAAGTTTACTTGCTATAGGAGTTAAATTAGTATTCTAGTTTTTTATTTGAAACTAAAAGTGTTTGGGCGTGCTATCGTATGCTTATAATGCTCTTTTTGATGTTGCTAGCTTGCTTATTTATTCAGTGAAGAATATACTGCAAGATCACTCTGTGCACGGCTTTCTTTTTCCTTAGTTGTATTTGGGCATACAAACCCATTTTCCAATTGTCCTTTTTCTTTCCTTTTGTCCTTTTGTAATTAACTTGTTGTCATGTTTGGCATTAAAGGGGACCTGCTTGATGTTGTCGTCCCTCCATTGGCCGAGTCTATTACTGATGGAACACTGGCAAAATTCCTGAAGAGTATGTTCTTTGTTTATTAAGTATATTGCTTATTGCTTGTTGCTATGAAATACACCAATCTTTTTTGGCTATTCTTGATTGAGAAGCCATTCTGACATCTTGAGTGCAGATCCGGGTGATAGAGTAGAATTGGATGAAGCAATTGCTCAAATTGAAACAGATAAGGTGTTTATAGATTTGTATTGGAAAATAGATTTTCTTTCCTTCCCCTATGAAAATGATTTGACGTTTGATTTAAATCTTGTGCTGCTAATTTTCTATCAGGTTACTATTGATGTCACTAGTCCTGGAGCTGGTGTTATTCAGAAGGTGACTACTTCTGGACTTCTAATAGTTAATTTTCTTAGCTACGCATCTTATAAGTTGATGGATGATTAATATAAATGCTGGCAGTTTGTTGCGAAGGAAGGAGATACGGTGGAACCAGGTACCAAGGTTGCTGTTATTTCAAAATCTGGTGAAGGTGTAGCTCATGCTGCTCCTTCCGAGAAGACATCGGAGAAAGCTGCATCTCAGGCTGCTCCAGTGGAAAAAATAGAAAAGCCTAAATCTGAAGCTATGGTCAGTGAGAAGCCTAAAGCACCATCTCCTCCACCTCCTAAGCGCTCAGCTACAGAACCCCAGCTTCCTCCCAAGGATAGGGAAAGACGAGTAAGAACATAGTTTAAAACATGCATGGCTCTAAAATGCATTCACCTTTTTTTAGTCAGTTTGTAATGAACTGGGTATTTCGTGGAATTATACTCCATGACTTTACTTGGGATCGTCATGCTTTAGGTTCCAATGACAAGGCTTCGAAAGAGGGTTGCTACACGATTGAAAGATTCTCAAAACACATTTGCTATGTTGACGACGTTCAATGAAGTTGACATGTAAGAGGTTTTTTTTGTCAATGTTTTTCCTCTGCCTATGTAGAAACTACATTGCAGCCTCCTATTTTAGTTGAACATTGTTCGTTTCAACGTTTTAGTTCGTCATGTCATGCCTGAATGCTACTGGTACTTGAGTACTGTAGAAAGACTAGTTTTTGTTATTAATTAATCTAATCCTTCCATTTTTAACATGTAAACCCACTTTAGACTGCAGTTATCATGGGATATTTTAAGGATTTGCTGGGGATTTTCAGTTACCTATTGGAGGCATTTTTTTTGTACGAAATCCTATTAGTTGGCTTTGTTCTCGTATCTCCATGCATTAGTTAATCTTATCGTCCCCATTTTCAATGAAGACTCTTTTCTGCTTCATTTTTAACTTGTGAACTTTTATGTAGGACAAATTTGATGAAGCTTCGTTCTGATTACAAGGATGCGTTTGTTGAAAAGCATGGAGTCAAGTTGGGTCTTATGTCTGGATTTATTAAGGTATGTATTGGTTAACTTCTTGGATATGTTAATTCCAGATGCGAGTAATGAGTGTATCGCCAATTTATTTTCTTCTGTTCATGTTTCCAGGCTGCTGTCAGTGGACTTCAGAATCAACCTATTATTAATGCTGTGATTGATGGGGATGATATCATATACAGAGACTACATAGACATTAGCATAGCTGTTGGCACGCCTAAGGTCTGTTGGAGTTTTGAATAGCTTTGCAGTTTTCTTATTGTTGAGGGCCTAATGTGAACTGCAAACGGAGAGGGAAAGAGTTTTCTTATCAAATCTCTGCTTGTCTCTCTCTATAACGAAAATCTTTGCTTGTTTAATGCCTCGTGATTCCGCCTAGTTCTTAATAGATACCTCTCCATATTTTAAGATTTGTTGCGTCAACACATAAAATAACGTTAGTCTTAAGCCCAAGAGGTCTAAAATTTAAGTGCGCAACTACTCTTGTGAGGTAGTTCATACATATTTTATGATGGTCGATCACATCTGAAGTTTAGGAATTTCTAGTCTCGAAGTATGATATCATAATTACCTTTGATTTTTAGGGGTCATAATACCCATATAAATTAGCCCTGACCAAAATCCATAAAAAGGACCAAAGTCTGCCGGTGATGTAGATCATAAATCATGAAGGGATGCAAGGTTGCAACATTATATTTCTTCATTTTTTCTGTGCAGGGTCTTGTTGTGCCAGTTATTCGAAATGCTGATACGATGAATTTTGCTGAGATAGAGAAGGAGATAAACACACTTGCAAAGAAGGCAAATGATGGTACCATATCAATTGACGAGATGGCTGGAGGTTCCTTCACCGTATCCAATGGTGGTGTTTATGGAAGCCTTTTGAGTACCCCTATTATTAATCCTCCTCAGGTTCGTGCTTATCAAACCTTACCCCATTCACTCCACAAGAGAAAAAAGAGAATGCTTTCTAAGGTGCCTTTTCATGCTGGTTCTTGATAAGAAACTGACATTCTGAAATTTCTTGACAGTCGGCAATCCTGGGAATGCACTCGATCGTTTCCCGTCCTGTGGTGGTTGAAGGCAACGTTGTCCCAAGGCCAATGATGTACATTGCTCTAACATATGACCATAGACTTATCGATGGGAGAGAGGCAGTGTTCTTTTTGCGCCGCATCAAAGATGTCGTAGAAGACCCACGGAGACTTCTCCTTGACATCTAAAGTCTCCAAAACCAAAGCTCTATTACGAAGAAATCTTCAGCGCGTGATGTTTCTCCAAGGGTAAAACTTCAAAACCTTCAAAAATCATTTTGAGAAATAAATACTCGTTTTCCTCACATTTCAAGTTTTGTAGGATGTTTCCATACTGTCCTCCCATGAGCAATTTCGGCTTGTCTTATAATTTATATTGAATGAGAGAACTTGTTAGAAAAGCATGTTTTAAGCGGTTTTCGATGAATTTGTGCTTGTGGGAATTCCCACGTCCATATTGTTGGAATTGTATTTTGGTGCTAAGCAGTAAGCATTTTATTCCGTAAGTTCTACAGGGATTTCCTTTCCCGGTGTGAATCGAGTTTGTGGGTTCGAAACTCAGCACAGCAATGCTGTGACATATTATTAGTTAGAACTTTGAAGTTCTTGGTTATATTTCTTTATGCCTTATGTGATAGTTTTTCAATAATTACATTTACAATTGAGGTGCTTGGTTATTGACTAAACTAGACAATTGAATCAGCATGAAAACCTTCTTTTTTTCCTAGTAGAGTTAGAAGTAAAAGACTAGTTCATTACTGTGTACAGCTATCATTATTTTGATATGGCATACTAAATATGTATTTCTTAAGGAACTCTTATTAAAATATATAAAGTTATGAAAATTGCTGTCTGGTAGGAAATGTTTGATAGAATCTTGGACCTGAATTTGAGTGTTAGAATCTGCCAGGAATAAAAGTTCAATCTTAACTTGCTATTAGTCAAGGCTATGACGTCATAAGGTAGAATTCATTTGTTTTAAAGGTTTATCACATTACACCTTATATGTATCTTAATGACCAGAAGGAACCTCATGGTTAGATTTTCATGCTTAGTGATTATATATGTATCATGTGTGAAATGTGCAAATTTTAATTCGTAAATGAATCGTTTTGAATTTTCATATGGTAAGAATGTCTTGAATTTTTATTCGATGATATTTTTATTGATATTTCCATCAACCCGATAGTCTGCCCGATGAGATTGAACTACTATTGGGGTATAACCTCCAAAAAATGCCATATTGAATGGCTACGACATTGAGTAAGTCATAAGTATTCATGAAGCACCTAGTTCATTACGGTACAAAATATATAGTAGTCTCAGGTCAAAAGATATTACTAGGATTCAAAAGACCCGTATCTTCTTATGCAAGTTGTTTTGGGGCTTGTTAATCAAGATATACCTCATTTGTCAACAAAACAGTTGAAAAGAAAGAGGTCTCTAGACTCCTTGAACTCTAACTCTTGCTAGTGCTAATAAGACCTTGAAAAAATGTGTCGTCCTTCATCACACGTCTCCCAAAGGTTGGCAAGCATGAACCAACATCCACACTTTATAAGTTGAAACCTTCAAAATTCCGTTTCAAGAAATTTAGTAAAATGTATGGATTTTACATCACATTAGTCCATTGTCATAAAAGACTACAATTGAACAAACACATTTATGAAAATAAAGCGATGTCTATTTACTCGGTTAAAAATGGCAGGCATCATCGAGCTAAATATTATTATCAATGCAACTCCCTTTGTCTTCGTTCTCCTTAAAAATAAAATGAAATAAAATCAACTGTCTCCTTTTTTGTCTGATAATTGGAGAAAGAGCATAGTGGTCCCATTTAACTATTCAATAAATCAGAAACGTATGGTCGACTTAAATCAAAACTATGACACAGAATTAGAAGCTATTGAATAATACCACAAAGTTGGGAATCCTCAAAACTGATGCCTCTACAGCCAACAGCTTTCAAAGATTGATATCATTACATTCTCACTTCTATGCCTTCCTTAAACAAGTGCTCTTTTACGGACTGAATAGGCACCTGCCATCCATAATATTAAGATTTAGTTTGATTCTATGAAGTTCGTTAATCGAGGCTAAAACAAGGTGTCAGTTAAGATAATAAAGGAATCTCAGGTAATAAATACCTCCTTGCGATGAAAAATGCCAGCTGCAAGGGCTGCAGATGCATTCGTTTTGTTGAACACCTCAGAGAAGTGGTCAGGACACCCAGCACCACTACTGGCAATAACGGGGATGCTCACAGAATCTGATATCAGCTTTACCAGATCTGTATCAAATCCTTTTCCTTGACCTGTCAAAGTTTGGTTAGAAACTAAATAATACGTATGGTCATGTTTAACAAGTCAGATTGCTCTCCCATGCAAGAGAAAGCAGTAAATGTTGAGAGAATACCATCTCCGTTGGGAGAAGAGTCTCATTTAAGCGGATTGATCATGGGTTTATAGGTAAAGAATACCATCTCCGTTGGTATTCAGATTACTCTCCCAGCAAGAGAAAGCAGTAAATGTTGAGGATTGTTGGGAGAAGAGTCCCATTTCAGCTGATTAAGGGGTTGATCATGGGTTTATAAGTAAGGAATACTATCTCCATTGGTATGAGATTTTTTGGGGAAACCAAAAGCAAAGTCATGAGAGTTTATGCTCAAAGTGGACAATATCATACCATTGTGGAGAGTCATGGTTTCTAACATGGTATCAGAGTCATGCCCTTAACTTAACCATGATAATAGAATCCTCAAATGTTGAACAAAGAAGTTGTGAGCCTCGAATGTGTAGTCAAAAGTGACTCAAGTGTCGAACAAAGGGTGTACTTTGTTCGAGAGTTTCAAAGGAGTCGAGCCTTGATTAAGCGGAGGCTCTTTGAGGGCTTCATAAGCCTTAGGAGAGGCTCTATGGTGTACTTTGTACAAGGGTAGAATTGTTGATGATTGTTGGGAAAGGAGTCCCACATCCGCTAATTAAGGGATTGATCATGGGCTTATAAATAAGGAATACTATCTCCATTGGTACGAGGCCTTTTGGGGAAACAAAAAAACAAAACCATGAGAGTTTATGCTTTAAGTGGACAATATCATACTATAATAGAGAGTCGTGGTTTCTAACCATAAAAGCATACATGTTTTTCAAAGGATTCAGAAATGGCGGTCCCTACGCTCATTTTTACCAATAGCTTTGGTATCTCTGTCAAAGCTAAAAGGGAGAGTTTTTTTAATAATAGGAAACATAAACATTTCATTGATGGTGTGAAATGATTACAAAAGAAAGGCCCTATCATGGAGAATTGCAAAAGGCTCTTACACTGATATATGAGGGAAGAAAGAAAGAATTACAGAGGAGATAAATTACACCACAAATGAGCTAATTAAGCGATAAGTTCCATAATCGAGTTTCAACTAGAGTGCTTATATGAGAAAATCCCTACTTTTCAAAGCTCCAAGTGAAATTTCGCCAAAGAATTCTCTTGTTCCTCTTTAACGAATGTCCAGTGAGAATGTAAAAGAGGAAGGAGAGATTATCATTCGGGAGAGTAATAGTGGGTGAGACATGAGAGCTTATGCATTTTCAAATTTCTTACTGCTAACCCATATATAGTGGGACTGTAACTATGAGTGAGAGGAGGCCTTTTGTTAACTTCCTCAGAAGGCAATCCTTGAAGGAATTCTAACCACCCAACCCTAGTAGAACTTGCAACATGTAGGAAGTTTCTCGTTGAAAGAAACACAAAGGAAAAGGCTAATATAATATTTCCATGCTTAGAAAGAGATGATGATTATAAAATTTTTATTGGATGGAATTGTCATCCTTACCATCACAATCTATGCAGTTCAGCAGTATTTCTCCAGCTCCAAGCTCCTCGACAGCTTTTGCAAGCTCATAAGCTCCAATAGGTCGACCTTCTCGACCTCCATTAACCTAGTGAACAAACAAGCAAATTTGGTTAAAATAAAATAATAAAAATAAAAATGAAATAGAACTTTTAAATGTGGAAGCATTGAGCAATGACCTCCCGTGTCTTAATCCTCAACATGAGATCCAAGCCCAAACAGTTTGAGGGATTTTCTTTTCTGCTATCCATAATTCAAGGGATTTTCATCATTTCCAAGTTTTGATGGATAGACATGTTAAAGTCTCCTGGCATCTTTTTGTCATTTGTGTAGATTTTTTTGGTAAGAGTCATTTTTTCGTCCTCTCAAACTTTTTAAGTGTGGATTTTTTTGTCCATACAGCCTTCTTATCCTTTGTTAGCTAGGTTCTCAAAGGTTAAGGTTCCAAGAAAGGCTTTTTTTTTTTTTTTTTTCCTTTGGTTGGTTGTGCTTGTGATTCTATAAAGGTTATCTTCTCTGAAGCTAAAGCTAAAACTTTCTTGTGTTTAACTCATTCTTTTTAAGGTGTTTTGTTCCCTTTGGGTATCTAACGAAGGGTTTTTAAGGTTTTAGAAGTGGCTTTAGCTCCAGTGCCCTAGGAGGAGGTTTAGAGTTCACACACATGAACGCTTCCCCATGGGTTTAAGCATCATGCACTTGTGAAGGTACCTTTGGTTGGTCTGTTGTTAAACTAGAATGGTTTGAATAGCAATGTCAACATTCATCTGGAAAGCATGCTAAACCACTTAGCACCACTTCTTTAAGGATTCAAATTCATACGCCAAAGATGTCTGTTTCTGGTCCTAAAGCACTAGTCCGTTCGATACAGACCAAACGAGAAAGGAAGACTAACAGATATAAGCGTGTCACATGTGAACTATCCCATACCAGTGAAAATTATGGATAACTATTCAAATACTACCGACGCCCCCCCCCCTCCCCCCAAATGTGATAAATGAAGTGTCCTATGGTAACACAATATTTGCTAATCAGACAATTGATTATTGGCAGCTTATTGAAAAAGAATTAGCAATCAGACAATTTTGGAGCCAAATAAATATGTGAGAGAGAAAATAGTACTTACTGTACACTGATACCAGGCATATTCTTCTCCATTAGGACCTGAAATGAACAGAAGTTCGCATTTATAAATTCAATCCAAGTCAGCAACAAACTTCCTATAGTCCCTTAGATTCTCTCGAACATTTTTTTTTTATAATAGATTCTCTCAAACATAATGCCTTTTTCATATAACCCTCAAACATACACCCGTATCAGACAATTTGATCTATCTATTGACACTAGTTTAATCGTTCCCTTGCATATCATACAGACATCAAGAAAGAAAGAAAACATTGCAAAGGCAGGATTCGCACCTAACGCATTTAACCTACAACATGGTTCAGAGGCGTTTCGAGGAGAAAATAGAAATGAAATAACCTTTTACCTGGGTTTGTTACTCGTATAACCTTGAACTCTACATCATCGGGACTTTTAAGGTACACTCTACGAGGATCAATACTTACCACAACAGCCTGCAAGAAATATTTTGGACAAAATCACTGTGATTAGTATTATTTATATTTCCAAGAACACAGATTAAACATCAATGTACACTAAATCAATAAAATGTTTCATATTATATAATCATTTTCAGTGAGTCAATCATTCAGAATGCTATAACTTAAAGATGTGACCAATTAGACATTGACAGAGTTCTAAAAAAAAAAAAGAGAGAGAACGTGACACATGCTTCCATCGCGAAGCATGAAGAACAAGGCCGTCATCCAAACAATATAAGCAAGGAAAAATGAAAATCATATGGTTTGGATAGACAGCATCAAAGCATTGAAGTTAACGAGCTGAAAAGGATTCTATAGTGTCGGATGTGAAGATAATTACACAATACTGTATTGCATCTTTGGTATCTGATAAATATTCTTGCTTTTCAATTAAAAGCCAATTGCTGTTAATAGTAACCCTGCTAAAGATTGACGACTATCCAAAAACCAAATGGAAAAAGGAGAAGTTATTAGAAAATCCAGGTTACAGTGAAAAGCACAAACACTGCAGTATAAACAACTCTTCTGGAATCTGGACTTTATACGTCAATACCAGGATTAATACATGAATAATGAGAACCATAGCTCGCGCAATCGATATTAATCACCTGATTTCCATAAACCTTAGAAATCTGCTCCAAGCTGGTCTTTCCTGTCTTTACCTGAGAGCAAACAGTTCAAGAACCATATAAGTGAAACAACCATGCACACAAGTTAACTTCAGATGATTGATATAACACTTACGCCAGTTCTTAAATATTCTTCGGCAGCATAAACAGCATCACTGCCAATAGATATTTTATCAGCTCCAGATCTGAAATATTCTGAAGCAACTTCCAGGCTAGAATAGTGCCTGACAAGGATTTGCATAATATATTGTTCATGAAATAGATCAGCAGCATAACTGCATAGCATAAAACCCGTAAAGTTGAGGAATTTTAAATAAAAAAGTACCCTAATAATATTAAGAGCACACCTGCCGTTCGCATCCTTAAAATCTCTAATCCCGCCCCCAACAGTCAATGGTACAAAAACATTTTCTGATGTGTATCTCAGCACCTATGAAGAGCATTGGGCAGGATTAAGATTAGACAAAAGAATGAAAGTTAAATATACAGCAACATCGCGGGGGAAAATAACTGCACCTAAAATTTAACAAACCTGCAACATTGGCAAGTCGCCTAGAGGGAAGTCACGAAAACCAGTTATATTCAAAAAACTGACCTGCAATTTAACGTCATAAAGGCATCAAGCAAATGAAAAGCTGAATAGCATCACTTTAGAAATAATAATAACCTGAGGGATAAAAGTTTTTAGGCTAAAAGGTGATGAGACATACCTCATCAGCACCATCCTTGTAGTACTGTCCAGCAAGCTCTACCGGCTTGCCAAGGTTCCTCACCTAAACATTAAATAATAGCGTCATTTCCAGTCCTTGGAAATTCGAAGAGCATGCACCATTACACTAATCAGCCACTCAGGGTCATAAAAGTAGGCATTTTAACCACGAACTAAAATAAACTGCTAAACAGCATTATAAAAATATGACCCCTTTAATATATTTTTTTAAAAGGTTATGAATTAAGGTTCTATATACAATTTTAATAAAATAAAATAAATTTACCAGAAAATTATCACATAAATGATAACCAATACACGGAGAAAACTATCACAAATTGTTTGGAGGCCAGATATTTAGCTGGTATTAGGATTTTGTTTGAACCTTTTTTAAAAAAATAGAAATCAAGAGATTTTGTGCGAATGAAAGAGCAAGACAAGGCAAAACAAGACAAAAAGGATCCTCAAAAGATAAACAATATCCTCCAAGAAAGGCATGACCTATTAAAAAAACCTACTACAATTAAACCCCACCTGTAATGATTCTCAGATGTAAAAAAACAAAATAATAATAATTCTCAAATATAATTGAGGAACATAAGAACATGCTGAACCGTAAATGTTCCACACTTCAAAAGATCCTCTTTCAATCTTCAAAGACTACAACTATATCATATGCTGAAAAGGGTAAACTTCAATGTCCTATAACTGAAAATACTAAATGCACTTCCAGTTGGAAAATTGATGAAAAGATTATACAGAAATTGCTTTTTTTTCTTAAAATACAATTGTGAGTATCCAAACCAACTTAAAAAAAAAGTAAACGCACATCCAAATGGGAAAATTGTTTAACATGGCATGAGAAAACTATTCTACCTCATTTTCTTCTGTTTGCTCCCTGACGTCATATTGGTCCCCTTTGGTAACAACAAGATCCCCTTGGTCATTTGTCCGCACATCAAGACAAGCAATAACCTAAGCGAATCAAAAGGAGTTGTTGACAAGCTCCTCTATCACGTTTATAGAGGACAATAGAACTGACATAAAACCAAAAGTGGTATAATCAAAGAGCTCTCTGCAAGGACTACTAACCTTGGGATAAGATTATAAAAGTGAAAAGAAATATTAATCATAGCATTCAATTGTTAGAGTTGAGTGATTATTACCCTTTTTGCAAGTCGAGATGCCTTTCCCTCATTAGGCTTCTGTCTTAAGAGAACATTTCAAAATGTTAGTTGATCTAAAAGAAACGTGACGTAAGTTGATACAATGCTCACATCCAGGGATGAAAGTTAACATACCTTGGTAACGGTTGACTTTGGAAGCAAGAATCTTCTAAGGACAGACAGACCTACCTCTGATAATTATACATATGTGCCATTAACCATCATAAAGTAGGCAACAATACTGGAAAGTTTCTAATACAAAGAGTAATGACAGGGTCAAAAGGCAAACAGAGGTTGGAATAATCAATCAATTTTGATCCTTAAACTGCAGTCACGCACATGAAAGAATGTAACAGTGAAATAGTTTACACCACCATTCTTAAGCAGTAAAACTCAACAACGACCTCAATTTTCTTCTTTCTTCCTTTTTTTTTTTTTTTTTTGGGGGGGGGGGGGGGTCGTTGTGGCAGTGGTCCAGGGGTATATATGATACTCTTTTATGTCATAAATTATGAATTTTAGAGGAAATCCGCCTCTTATCCAAAACCATATGACAAATCTGAAGGTAGGAAGAAACTGTCCAACTAAATTTAAAAACAAGCACAAGCAAAGCATATCTTACCTCCACTCTTTTCTGGGTGGAATTGAACTGCATGGACGTTTCCCCTTCTAACTGAAGCTATAAACCTGTCGCCATAGCTGCAAGTAGAAGAGATCCACTCCTTGTTCTTGTCTGACTGAAATATGAGAAAAGAATTAGGTTCCCATACACATAATGTTGATAGAAAAGGAAAATCAAAGATCACATGGAAAAATGAATTATTTTGAACGAGACAGTATCTTACTGGCATAGCTCGGTAAGAATGAACAAAGTAGACATGACGATTAGAAATTTCATCCAATATCTCAGAGTCCTCTGAGATTTCCAAAGCATTCCATCCAATATGGGGTACCGTAAAACCATTAGAAGAGTCAAAACGCCCAACCACGCCTGGTATTAAGCCAAGACCTTTTACTGCAACACATAACAAGAGTAATTTAGTCATTACCATAAGAAAAGTGATTTTGAAATAATCAGTTAATTCAATCTTAAGAAAAGACCCTTCCAGCAAGTGGTTTTCATGTGTTTCTTCGGTAGAATGCCCTCATTGTTGGGTTATGGAAACTTTAAACGGAGAGGAATAGAAGGACAAGTAATATGTAAAGGGATTTGGAAGTTTCTTGACTTAATCTTTTCTGCTACTTCAAATTGGTGCAACCTCTCAAAAGAGTTCAAAGATTATTCCTCCATTCCTATTAATGCCAATTGAAGTACTTTTTGGTGAACTCCCTTGGCCATTTCTCATCTTTGTAAGAAACACATGAAAAGCTGTAAAGGGATTTGGAAGGACAAGTAATATGTAAAGGGATTTGGAAGTTTCTTGACTTAATCTTTTCTGCTACTTCAAATTGGTGCAACCTCTCAAAAGAGTTCAAAGATTATTCCTCCATTCCTATTAATGCCAATTGAAGTACTTTTTGGTGAACTCCCTTGGCCATTTCTCATCTTTGTAAGAAACACATGAAAAGCATCAGTTTCAAACCTGGTCCGTTCTCCTCGCTTGATTCGAAGAGTAGTTGAAGCCCAAGACAAATACCTAAAAAAGGGCGATCATTCTCAATATAACTGCAGAGTGCTTCAGCCATGCTGCAAAACATCACACATACTCCAAAACGTTAAACACGGCTTAAAACTTTCAATTTGCACCTTCAACCCATTCTGGATAATTTGTTTCAGTAGTAAAAAGCTTATGCACACGTGTGTGTTAAAAATAAAGGAGCCAAAGAATCAGTTACCCTTTACTGTTTAGCACATCCATGGCAGGAGCAAATGCCCCAACTCCAGGAAATATTAGGCGTTTTGCATTTAGAATGTCTTCTGGAGTTTGCACCTAAAAATCAGCATTCATACGTCAAGTTGTTGGTAGATGTTTACCCGAAAAATCGCCATAATAAATGGTATGAAGCATACTAACTACTCAATGACTAAACAAGAAATTACAACACTGAAATAAAAGAAAATTGTGGAATCAGTGAAAGATTGTCAATAAATCATAAATCTTGATCAAATGCCAAAAAGGCATTCACAGTTCTGCAAGACACTGCTATAAGATAACAAAAACAATACTCTTCAGTTCAAAGCATAAACTCCTGCAAGTTCAATCATTAGCTCTCCCAGTATCCTATCACAGCGTGAAATCCATACAAGGACGAAAATAAGAAAAGAGAATCTCACATCTTTGATGTCGAAGCCAAGGTAACGAATTGCATTCCTCACACTACGAACATTACCAGCACCATAATCCAGCAAAGTTACAACTAGAGTAACAAATACAAGAAAATTACGAAGTCGCATTTGAAATGAGCAACAAATTCATTGGCAGACAGATAGAAAAGAGAGTACCTGAATCACCACCCAATGAGGCACGAACTGCGAACTTACCGGAGGAATTAACTTTGAGATGACGAGTTTTGTAATGATTATTGCGAAGAAAAAAGAGAGAACTCGTATGAGCCGATGATGAAAGTGACCGAAATACAGTCCGAGAAGAAGAGGAAGAAGAAGAAGAAACAGCGACGGAGAACGGCGGCGCTTCCATTACAATCTCCGAAACTCTAACGGTGAAGCCTGAACGGAGATTTCAAGCTTCGAATCGGCAATTGCTCGAAGAAGAAAGCTCCGGTATGCGGCGTTCGACTGAAAATGGCGAAAGAAGCTCCGTGGTGATTAACAGAGAAAAGTAACACAAATTAATAAAAAATTAAATTCTAAACACAATTAAAATATAATTTTGTTTTTTCTTTTTTATTTCTAATTTTATTTTCATTATAATTAAATTACGTTAATTACTAAAATTCCTTTTAATATTTTTAATCAATTAAATGTATTTACTCCAATAAATAAATTTCAAAATAAAATAAAAAATTACTATAAGAAGCTTACTTTATTTTATTTTATTAAATACTAATTAATTTTATTTGACATTATTAAATTTTACCAATATATTTTTTTTTTAAATAGAAGACCAATTTTATTGTAATAAATAAATTTCAAAATAAAATAAAAAATTACTTTTTAATCAATTAAATGTATTTACTCCAATAAATAAAAATTACTTTATTTTATTTTATTAAATACTAATTAATTTTATTTGACATTATTAAATTTTACCATTTTTTTTTAAATAGAAGACCAATTATAAGGAGAAAGATCAAGAAATTATTCAATTTTATTGTAATATTATTTTTTTTTTATTAATTTTAGCTGAAAATGAAAATGACGAATTTGGGGTGGGTCCCATATTTTATTCTCGTTTTGGTAACAAAATTTAAGCTTATATTTATTTTCGACTATTTATTGTAATTTACCCTCCAAAAATAAAAAAGAAAATACTTTTAAACATTTAACAAAATTTCTAATTTTTTAATATTTACGAATATATTTTTTTAAAATATTTAGTATGCAAAGTTATAAAAATAGTTGAGGTATAATATATTTCTATTTAATATGTTTTACTACTATAAATCTTTAATAATAACTATTAATATTATGATAAAATTAATTTTTTTAACCCTTTTAAAAATTTTAAAACTTAATAATTTTATTACACCTCACCAAATTTAATTTAAAGTAAAATATAGAGTGATTCTCGAGATATGATGACCAAAAATAAGAGTTATTATATATATAACTTTAAGCAGTTTTATATTGGGCGATCTCTTAAGAATTTTATGCATGTGAGTGAGGTCAAAATATGCTGAAAAAACTCGTGTTGAGATATCTGAAAGAGAATGATTTAGAGTTCTTGTAGAGTGGAACCGTGCAGTACCAGACACGAGATAGATCTTCCAACGAACAAGACTTTTTTTCGAATAAGTAAATTCATTTGGGATCCTGTAGATCCACTCTTTTTCCTATTCAGAGATCAGCCTTTTGTCTCTGTGTTTTCGCATCGAGAATTCTTTGCAGACGAAGAGATGTCAAAGGGGCTGCTTACTTCCCAAACAGATCTTCCTATATGTATATATAAACGCTGGTTTATCAAGAATATGCAAGAAAAGCACTTCGGATTGTTTGGTCTGTGGGGAATAATATTCAATAAGAAGCGAGGAGTAGGTAACGTGATCATGTCACAAGAGAATGTCGAAGCTATATAATCTAAATTCTGAATTTTGGCATGGGACGTTACACGGAGAGAGAAAAAAACTCAAATATTTATATTATTTATATGAAGAATAAGATTAATGTATTATTTTAGACGACGACCATTTTAGGATTGTTATTAAAAGAGTAAGATTCCACGTAGGTTAGAGGGAGGGGAACGAAACATTCGTCCACATAGGTTGGAGAGGGGAACAAAATATTTCTTATAAGAGTGTGGAAACCTCTCCCTAGTAGACACATTTTAAAATCGAAAGGTTAGTGACGATATGTAACGGACCAAAGCGGACAATATCTGCTAGCTATGAGTTTGCGCTGTTACAAATGATATTAGAGTTAAGACACTGAACGGAATGTTAGCGAAGACGATGGGACCCAAGGGGGTGGATTGTTAGATCCCACATTAGTTAGAGAGATAAACAAAACATTCCTTATAAGGATACTCGAGAGGACGTTGGCCTCTAAGAGGGTAAATTGTGAGATCTCATATTGATTGAAGAGATAAACGAAACATTCCTTATCAGGACGAGCTCCAAAACATTTCTTATAAGAATAGACTAACGACGATACGTAATAGGTCAAAATTGACAATATCGACCAACGGTAAGCTTGGACAATGAAACATTCTTTATATGAACAATCCACCCCCTATAACAGTAGGCTAACGGTGATACGTAACAGATCAAAACGAACAATATCAACGGACAGTGAGTTAGAACTAAATATTAAAACACATAAATCCTTTATTAAATGATTATCGAAGACTAAAAAGAACCTAGGAAGTAGGGGTTGACATTT